AGCCCCACAGTTACACTCAGCTACTCCCCTACAAGCTGTCAGGGTGGGATGAGCAGGAGGGGACCCCAAGACACCAAACTTCATCACCAAAGCGAGCCGTGCTGTGCTGGCCACTCCATCCCATTAGCCAAGGAGCGAGCAAAGAGGGAGCGCTGGGATAAAGCCATCTCTCCTGCCCTTCCCTCCCCCGCTTCCCGGGCAGAGGAGAGAAGCAGAAAGCTTATCCTATTTCATGCCTCTGGCATGTGGAAGTAAGAACATTATTTTGTAGTAATCTTCTTATTAAAGATCAGATGATGATGGCTGATGATGAGGCGCCGTTGGGAGGAGCCCCCTCCCTGGGCTCGCTGTCAGCACCAGCCGCTCTGCCTGGCCGGCTGGGCTCCAGCTCCCTCGCTGGGGGCTCCAGAGGGACAGCGTGGGGTCACAGCAGGGCCACAGGCTCAACACTTGCCTAATAGCAAACCCAACCCAGACTGGAAACCACAAAGGACACGGTTGTCGACTGACTTGAAATGCTAGAGCTGCTTTCCTCTGTGTGACAGAAAGCAGATCCCCTCTTCCCCTTCTTTCATTTAAAGAGTAAACCCTTTGTGCGTTTGATTTTTTTTTCCCCTCCATTCGCATAGTTTTAAAAATCAATTCCCCTGTTCACAGGTAGCTTTATCTTAGATGGCTATTTTTCACATCAACAAAGGTACCAAACGGAACGACTCACTCCACAGTAGACACATTATTGATATCAGGCTTACGGTTTTCAGGTTTTTAAAGCCATTTTGAGGGCTTTATAGAGGCCCCTAAGCTTTTTTGACCTTTATAAAGGCCACCTGGGAGGGAGCACACCCCACCCTGCGATACAAGGGCAGTGGGTTGCTAGCAGACAGACCTGCCCTCCCAGGAGATGCTTTTGCTAGAGCTGCACTTGGAGATTTTGCTACCTATGAAGCAAGCGCAGGAGACAGATCCGCTCCTGTGGTCTCACCGATAGCACAGACCACCCAAGCATCCTCCTTGGCATTTAGGGCCGTTATGGCCCTCAAAATGCTGCGCTGAGCCCTTGTGAACTGGGAATTGTCAACTAATCACCAACTTCAGTGTGCCAACGCACAGAGCTCCGGGGGGTCCCAAACACGCACCCCTCCAGCCGGGCTGTCATCTCTTGCAGCAGCACGGGGACGTTTCATGCAGCTGTAGGTGGCTCTGAGATCACCATCTCAGCCGTAGTCGCTCCGTGCTTGGCTCCACCGTGCAGGAGGCTTTGTGTGGCTACATGTGACGTCAACGTGTGGGCTGTCTTTCACCAAAGCTCCCTCCTGTTGCAGCAGGTAGGCAGAGTAGCACCCCAGGTACGCTGAAACAAGAGGAGGGGTGTAGTTAAACTGACCTCAAGTGTCATATGGAAAAAAAGAGGGTTGTCCTCTTACCACCCATATGCCCAGAGTTGATGTACCAGTTCCGCTGTGCTCTCATGGGTCGTGTGAGTTAAATAGCATGCTATGGCTCAATGACCATCATGCTGGTCACTGCTGGGATGGAACGGGACTGCAGCAGCAATCAGTTTTCATTTGGAATGAAAAATATAAACATGTTGCCTATGTAAACAGATAAAAAAATATATATACATAGACAAAGTGAGTGCGTAGGCGTGTGATAAAGGTAATAACTTTCTGAGAGCCACACCTGGTGGCAATGCAGCCATCAGAGAACTTTAACAGTGAAGCTCTCTCTGTGGCACAAAATGTACCAAACAGCAGGCATTGCCTCCTTCACCATCATCAGGAAAAGCTGACCAGCAGCCCTGCGTGCTGTGGACGAGTCTCCAAGGGGAGAGGTGGGCAAGTACCTAATTCTAGCATAAACAGAGTCCTGTCTTGAGACTCGCATGGAAGCGGGCGCCCAAGGAAAGGCAGCCCCCGTCTCCATTGGTGCTGCAGCCGTGCCTCGCGTGCCAGCCCCGTGGAGACAGGCGACCATGCGATCCAGAGAAACCAAGCTCGGGGAAGGCTTTGGAGAGTCTTATCGCTCTTCAGGCAGTCACAGCACCGAAATGTGAATGTGTTACACAGAAGAAATGAAACAAATCCAAACCTGTGTCAGGAGATGATTTCATAGGGCTCCCATTGTGTCTGAACTTATCGAGCAAAGCCTTCCTTTCCAATCTGATCCAAGAATCACTGAAGCCAAGCGCAGCTGGTTCACTGCTTCAGGAGAATTTGGACCAGGCCCTTTCTGAACCATGGAGGGAACGCATTTTGGAAAGGAAAAGAAATACATTACGTTAATTGTGCAAACTACTTTCAGCATCCCTTAGAAATGGGCACATTTACCCGCAAGCTGACAAAGAGCATTTAGGTAATAGTTAAAATTCAAAAGGCATTTCATTACAAATTGAACCGTCCATGCAATAGCAGAGCACTTTCGTCTTTTCATTTCCCCTCAAACCTTTTGTGCTGCACAGAACACTTCTGTACTCGTTATTTTTGCAAAATTAAAAGTGCCAGGTCAGCTTTCAGCGGGAATCACGGGGGAGAAATTCAGGAGGAAGAAGCGAAGCTGGAAGAAAGCGGAGGCCCTTTCCCCAGCAGAGAGTTGAGTTTTAGTTTTGATGCAACATGAGCGCACGGATAAAAACACAAGTTAAAGACAATGAGCATGTGAGGACTTAGACCCAGGAATGAGGCAGAGGTGAAGATCGTCCTACGGGCTGACTTCAAGCAACTCTTAGCAGTCAGAGCACTTTTACTGCCTCTCTCCTGCTGTCACTCACGTTTGCCAAGGCCATGAGCGATGGCTGCTGGGGTCCCACACCCAGCCCCACTGCCAGCCAAACACGATTCGTCCTTGGCCACCCCTCAGCCACCCCCCGAGGAACGGGGCTGTGCACACCTGTGGCAGCGGGAGGTGGCTGGGGCAGACCGGCCAGCGCAGCCCCAACTCAGCAAGCCCCAGCAACGCGTTGACATGAAAACAGGGAGAGCAGGCAGGTGAACATGCCCGTTTCAGCTGGCCCGCCCTCACCCGCGGCTTTG